AAAACTGAACTGATAAACTTGAAATCCATCAAAGGAAAATGCAACAATTTGCTGGAATAAAACTTGTGATGTTAAAAACAGCTGAAAAATTCAAAATGCATTAAAAAGCTGACCAAATGGTCGGAGAGTTAAAGTTCATGTAAAGCACCGAAGACTGCTATGATCAGACAAACAACGCACGAATTAAGCATCAGAAGGTAACTGTACAACACCCTTTGCCCAATTTCCTGTATGTCGGTGCACCTGGCGTGTGCAGCACTCATTCATAAATTACAGTCGGCTCTCCCCCCTCCACTCAAGGTCACTGAAGTAAATGGTGTTGGGCTCTCGACCCCTCAGAAGAGCCAATTACGCCGAGCTATCCCATTCCTGGTTAAACAAAGCTGCCAATGAGGCATTCACAGTTGTGCTTCTTATTCGTCAAATTATGCCTCTATCGGCGCTCTCGACTTGTCGCTCCATTTTCTTCCCATCTGCTTTCTGCATAACGTCCCGAACAGGCAGTACTCCAGACATCAGAAACAACAAAATACTCTCATCCCCACTGATGCCTATCAACGATCCGAATATGACAATCCAAATCCCGTGGTTCATCCATGCAAAACGGAATTATTCGGTTTTTATTGACTTGCTGATCCGAAATGAGCCAGATTATCGTCCCATTTGTTTTTTCCTGCGAACATGTGGCACCGGCAAGCAGTTTGTTCTCCGTCGCTGTTGTTACTTCACACTGGTTTATCTGGTCAATAATCGCCCTGTCAATGCACTGTTTCCCCGTAAACAAGATTCGCCTGAGCACCAATTACTGCTTTCAGCTTTTCTTTCTCCATCCAACTTTTATTTCCCGTCGAATCACCAAAAATGACGTGCTTAACAATATGAATGATGTCGAAGTAAATTTTGTACAGAATCTTCACACCACCGTTTTCAATTACATTGGTGCAGGCCGGAAGCATATCCTGACCAATCTGTTTAATTCAAGCCTGATCTGAACGCATCGACCCACCACGACCAAAAATTACGTAAGACCAGCAGATAACATTCCCTGCAAAAGGAAAGCCTGACTTCACTGGTGCTCCTCAATCTGTATTCATCGTTGTGACAGCACACGAGAGTCGTTCAAGTCCAAGGTTTCCGAAGAAAGCTGCCGAACTGGTGCTCAGTAAGTTGGCTAATGAAGGAAATCTTACTGAAGTAAACTTTCGAGTTGGAAAAACAATCACGGGGGCCCTGAATGACATATTAATGTTTCCATCTTTTGCCAGTGAAGAAGTCAAATTCGCCAGAAATCAGCCTGTGTAATTAGTAATTATTTGCCCTGTGGGGGTGTCCAACCACCATGCAGACGTGTCCCAATCCATTTCAGCTTCCCCTTGTATCATCGTTGCGCTTTCAAATGTCATTGCCTTTTTCCACCCGTTCGCATAATTTGCCACTACCACACAACCATCTGCAAGTAGACTGAGAATGCTCCGCATCGTTTAGGCTCATCCAAACAAAATGTGGTGGAGTGTTGTTATAAA